TGGAAGTCCAGGAATGAGTCCTCAGAATGCCCATGCTCTTGATGTACCTATTTGGAATCCAGTTGTTGACTTGGACTATTTTTTAATCTCCTGTTCTTTGGACTGAGGCTATTGGTTAGTGGTAGAATATCTACACAGTTACATTGACATTGGTCATTCAAGTTACATGTAGAAAGGAGAAGCAAGTAGCAATATCAGCAATGAGTAGCAGTAAAAGACAATCAAAAGAGAGTAAACAAAACTGTGTCAATGATCACATCTAGAACAATCAGAGAAATAACAGGAATTGTAGGAGCAGAGATAACCCAAACATCTCAAATATAAGAAAGAAAGAAAGAAAGAAAGAAAGAAAGAAAGAAAGAAAGAAAGAAAGAAAGAAAGAGAAAGAGAGAAAGAAAAAAAGAAAGGAAGAAAGAAAGAAAGAAAGAAAGAAAGAAAGAAAGAAAGAAAAAAAGAAAGAAGGAAGGAAGGAAGGAAGGAAGGAAAGAAAGAAAGAAAGAAAGAAAGAAAGAAAGAAAGAAAGAAAGAAAGAAAGAAAGAAAGAAAGAAAGAAAGAAAAGGAAAGAAAGAAAGATTAGGACAAAAGAAAATGACTAAAATGTGTCAGAAGATTTAAAGTGAAAATTGTGCTGCCTCATTTCTTTTAATTCCAGGAAGCTTTTTTCTCCCTTCTAGGAGAGACCCAGAAGGAGCAGAGCCCCCAATGAAATCAGAAGAAGCATAGTAAGAATCATGTTGAGACACATAATGAGACATATAGAGACATAGACAGACAGTTAGATGATAGAATTTTGTTATTAAAAGAGAAAATGAGAAAGAAAAGAATAAAAAAATAGGAAAGGAATAAAAGGAAACATATATACATATTAATCAGTGAATAAAGAACCATGGTATTAATTTTTAAAATAATAAGAAAATATTGTCTGTGCTGGGTTGTTGTGAGGGCATGTGTGGATGTTTAGTATATCTCTACCTTAGTCAGTCTGCACTTCTTTCTTGGGCTGTGTGCCTCTGGAAGAGCGCAAGGCTGGGATCTTCACCTCATTTTGTGTGTGTGTGTTGTTCACCATTCAGTCACTGAAAGTAACCAGGCTTGTGTTGAACCTAGTTGGAATGGCTTTCTTTTTTCTAATCACTATTAAAAAGTAGCAGGAGACCAAAGTTATCTAGGCTGGTATTTTTCTGAAAGAACTAGCTCAATTGATTCTTGGAACTGTGCTTGCTGACATCCTTCCAACTCTATGCCAAGCCCCCAAGTGACTCCATAAAGTCCACAAGAAAGTGTGAGCGCCATCCTATACTGGGTAGAGGTGGGGCCATCTGTGTGCTTAATATCGCTCTGACCATGGCTTCTGAGGCTCAGGCTCTGGAGACATCTGTGTGCTCACTCAGTCTCCAAGCTCCCTCATTGGCACCTCAAGTCAGCGGCAGTCTGAAAGGAATCTAAGCCCCACTCTCTTCTCAGTCCCCAAACCAAATCCCATAGGATGTGTTTTTCTGTCATGTTTCACTGGGACCAGGCTGAAATACCTAGTATATTGCTGGATCCTAATGGCTCCCTCGGGGGATGGGGTGAGAAGGTACAATGTCAGTGACACAGATACTGGAAGTCAGTTGAAGGCAAACAGCAGATTCATTTATTCAATAATGGAGATGGCCTTGTATACCCTCTTCCCTGTACTCAACCTGTGTCCCACTCTGTTGGCATTGTGTGGTCATCCCTCAATAGCCGGGCATGATCAGGAACTCTAAAAGCCCCTGTTGCTAGACCCTCAGGCAGATTCCACACAATCGGGAACTCTGACATTGACCAGGAACTCTGACAGCTCCTCTTGCTAGGTAGGCCCTCAGGCAGACTCCAGGTTGACTCATAAGGAAGTACTTTATGTGCACGCCTTGACAACTGGTTTGAGCCAATTTCCTGGACCCTATGGGCCTGTCCTACTACAGTACAGAGTATGTTGGACATGACAGGGGACTATTCCTTTACATTTTTAAATGTGGTCCTAACGTTACTAAATTCCAGAGATCAGCATCTCTACTTTAGAAAGAATTAGCATCAGGTGCAGAGTGGAAGTACCATGACCAAGAAAAATTCTGAGTCTGAACTTTGATCTCTTATCCACTATGCCCATCTGTTTTGATGGGTACAGTAATTATAATTGAGTAGGTGAAATTAATATCTACTTCTGAGATTTGATATATGGGATTAGAGGCTGTAGTGAACAGTAGTGAACAATATTGCACACAAAACCCAACAATATACATGATCTTATCTAATCCTCATATTAATCCTGTGTATTAAGTAATTTGGCAGCACCATGGGGCCAGTAATTAGCAGAGCCTGGATGTGAAAATGCTCACTCTGACCTCACTACATATACTCCTTCTGCTAGCTATGGGTAGCCATTAGTTTTCAGAGATGCAACAGTGCAGCTTTAAGGAGACTCTAAGTGGTTTTGAGTAAATATACTAATAAGCAACCCATTACTAGTTATTTCTTTTCAGAATCTAACAGAAAAGTCTCATAATTCCTATGTTTCCATGGGAACATTTGTCAGCACAGAATGTAGCATTCCTCCTGTCATGGAGTGTTCTCTCTAAAAATTCATGCATTCACTTCACTAATATCTATTTAGCAAATAGTCTGTGCAAGTGCTGTGCTGGTGACAGAGGAATCCATCTAACAAGAAACCTCCCAGTTCTAGAGGAAGTGTCAGCCTGCTGCTGATAGCAAACACCTTGGCTGCTCCACAGGACTCTCTGAGCCTGGCGCAACTTAAGACATTGCATTTGTCCTAGAATACACTCTATCTCTGAGGACCTAGTTACCTAAGAGATCATTGTCTCCCAAAAGGTTTGGCACAAAGCACGATCAACCATAGTGCCCTGGAGATGCAATCTTAGATTTGGACTCTAGAGAAAAAGAACCAGGGTATTTTCCAAAAGGGAACTTCCAGTTAAAATGGCCCAGGATTTTGAAATGCCTAATCCTAAGTGACATGGGGCTGCTGTGTTGACCCTCAGTCACCACCCATCTTTTTCTAGAAAATTTGGTTTAGCATGTACCATATAACCACTTATGGGCCCCATGGCCACACACTCTCCTTCGAGGAAGCCAGCCAAAGATCAAGAAGCAGAAGCTGTGGACACTAGTCTTTGAGGGCACTTGACTGTACATCCAATTATTGAGAAGAATCCCACTCAGGTCAGGTTGGTGCTAAAACAGCAGAGTGTTGTAGCACATGGTGGTGGGATATCAGTGAGCGTTTTTTTTTTTTTTTTTTTTTTTTTTTTTTTTTTTTTTTTTTTTTTTTTTTACATGCTGAGAAATTCTTGCACTTTCGCTGCTGCGTGATGCCAATAATGGCGCTGTAAACTAGTGCAAATTCACCTGGTGCTGCTCCAGGGAGGGGGCAGGGCCTGGGGAACGCTAAGCTTTATCTCCAGGTCCATGAAGATGCTTACTGGTGCCCTTCCTGGCCACAGCACCGGTGGCCCTACTTCCCTTTGGACTCAAAGTGTGTGAGTCACACTGCAATTTAAGGATTACCCTTTGTCCTTTACATTTGCAAAAACTAAGTGAGACAAACCAAAACACAGGTTTCCTTGGTTTAAAAAATGTAAAGGAAAGCCCTGTTTTATTTGGATTTAAAGATTAAACACACACGCGCGCACACACACACACACACACACACACACGCCTACAACATGTGTTATTCTTACATTCTCTCCGAAGATAGATTAAATTCGAGTCATTTCTGTAGTTGTGAGACCACACAGCAAGTATGTACGTTTATAGTTTACGGGAAGGTTAAAGGAAGGTAATTCCAGTTTGGGAATAAGAGAGGTGGCACCACCTTTGCGATCTGCCACTCCCCGCGGGACGAGGGCGGGGCCGGTCTTCGTTTCCCCTGGTTGCTAGCAGCCTCCCTCCGCCCGCCGCCGCGCTCCAGGCAGCCGCCAGGGGTGCTGCGAGTCCCACCTGCGGTTAGGAGTGGCCCCACCTCCTAGTCTGCCTAGTGCTGGTGCCTCCGACTCCTTAAGTGAGCGGGTGGGGGCACCAGCCACCTAAAAGGGGTAGGACCTGAGGGCGTTAGCATCTCCCCAGGCTGGGTGGGGTTTGGCAGTACTCGATCCCTGGGGCTGCCCTCTTCTTACCCCGAGGGCACACCCTTCGATGCCAGCTTTGCTTTGGGTGTTGCAGCCCTGCAGGTCCTGTACCTTCCTGGCTCTCCAAAGCCTGGCACGCCCACCATCGCTGCCAGTACCAGGGCCATAGCTTCCGAGTTAAAGCACTCTCACGGGCGCCAGTAGCACACCACAACCTGGCCAGGTGCCGGAGCTCCCGGTACAATACAAAGAGGCCCGCGCTTCCCCGGTTCTCGCCGCTGCCACGCCCGCTCGTGTCCACTGCCCCCTGCCCTCGGTGGTGGCCGGACGTGGAGACTCCTCCACTCGGCCAGCTGTGCCCCCACCCCCACGCCCACAGCGTAGATCAAATCCACTTAGCGCTCTCCGAAATCCCACGAGCCTAGGCCTCCGACTGCCGCCCTGTTGCCCTCGGCGTCCAGCACTGGCCAGAAAGCCCCCCCCACCCCCAGTTGCTCCCCTCGGTCCCGGTCCCTCCTCCCGGCCCTCCTTCTTCTCGCCCCTCCCCAGCCGGGGTGGGAGCGGCAGCAGCTGGAAGGGAAGGGATGAGGTCATCCTCTCCCTCGGAGTCAGCTGGTGGAGGAGAGGCTGCGGGAGGAGGGAGCGCGCGCGAGGGGAGGAGAGGAATGTGCAGGTCCGAGGAGCGCCGCGGCGGCCGCTGCTGCTCCTGCTGCTGGCGGCCGC